TGCACGTGCCGACCGCATCCTTTATCTTGCGGCGGACGGTATTCGCACCTGATTGAACGAGGAGCTGCCGGACATCAATCCAGCGAAACGCCGCTCTGTTTGACCAGCTCGCGCCATGCCTCCCGGTCCTGCTTCAAAAACGACGTGAACTCCTCCGCCGACTGGTTGCGGGTTCGCATGGCCATGGTGTCAAGCTGTTCGCGCATCGCGGGTGCCTGAAGTGCGGCCGTGACTTGTGTATTGAGCTTTTTAACCACGTCGCGGGGCGTACCCGCAGGTGCCATCAGCCCAAACCAGGTAAAGCCCTGGATTTGACCGATACCAGATTCAGCCAGGGTGGGCACATCCGGCAGTTGCGGGGAGCGCGAAGGTGCCAGTACGGCAAGTGCACGCATTTTTCCGGACTTGATCTGGGGAACAATTCCAGGGTTTCCTACCGACAGATACATCACCTGGATATCACCCGTGTTGAATGCCTGAAGCATGGGCCCGAAACCGTTGAAAGGCGCGTGCAGGATGTCGGCCTGCGTCTGCCGCTTCAGCCACTCCATGGTCAGATGGGTGTCCGAGCCATTGCCAAATGAGCCGTAAGCCAGTTTGCCAGGGTTGCGCTTTGCATATGCAGCCAGTTCCTGTAGCGTGCGTGCCGGAATCGACGGCGACACAATAAACACCATGTCCGGCACAACTAGGGGGGCGATGGCCTCCAGGTCCTTGACGGCATCGTAAGGGAGCTTGCGATAAAGCGACGGATTGATGGACACCGAACTGCCAGTCACAACACACAAAGTTGAGCCATCGGGTACCGCCTTGGCACAGGCGTCCGTGCCGATGATCGTGTTCGCGCCTGGCCGGTTGTCAACCACAAAAGGCTGGCCATTTTTATCAGTCAATATCTGGCCCAGCATTCGGGTAATCACGTCGGAGGCACCGCCGGCACCCAACGGCACGATGATGCGAACGGGTTTGATGGGGTAAGCAACCTGCTGCGCATGCACGGGCACCGCACCCACGAGAACAGAAAGTGAAACAAGGAATGACTGTAAAAACTTAAGCATGATGTCTCCTGCCATGGTGGCGTTGTTGTTAAAGATGTTTTTCTGCTCGTTCGATAAAGGCCTCAAGCGGGTCGTCGCTACCTGCTTTCGAAGCCAGCAGGATGACCAGTTTTGTCAGGAAAATTTCCCTTTTGGGTGCCGAAATCCTGTCCAGTGCCGAGGCCAGAATTTCAAAGTTCCTTTCAGCGAACACGGATGTCTGCTGTTGTGTCATGCCATCTCCTCTACTGAAGAAGGGCTTCCGCTGGCCCGGGCAATGGCCGAACTCAAGGTTGTGGCCGCGAAGTTGCGCCAACGCCCTGCAACGCGGTTGTCGGGTCGAATGAGATAGGTGGTCGCCACCCTGGCATCCAGCAGTTGCGCCAGCCTTCCACCGACGGGCAACTTCAAAAACTTCACAGGCACACTGCAGGCTGCAGGAACAACATCCTGTGCATCCCGTTTTGCCGAATCTTCAACAAAG